TAATTAATTTGGTTTTGAACGGAATGTGAGCTACATGATGAGGCCAAATCAAGTGACACCACAGTGCATAGGGAAAGACCTGGTCTCTATGGATTTCCATAGGACACATGAGCCTGTATTATAACTGCAGATACAAAGATTCAGTAAAATTAAGTGGACGACCTTGGGGGTGATTCAGTGATATGAAAAAGTTACGTCCATTTGGACGAGAAACACGTTCATCCAGAGTGTACGAGAACAATTTCAGGCCATTGTAGACTCACTTTTGAGCTCAACATGACCGAAAAGCGATTGGTTGAACGTTTTCTGATTTGTATCAAAATTCAATAACTAGTAGAAACAAAATCAAGCCATTTTGGTTAACCCGAGTGACCGCCCCTTCAGAACCAAAGTCAGTCCGTCAAACAGGAATGAAAAAAGAACGAAGAAGGTAGCGAACAAAGCTTGTTTTCTGTGATTGTTCACCTTGACTAATACATCGCAAATTTATATGGTAGCAGAAATCACGTGAAAAAGGTTAAGATCGGGGCTACATACACTTTAGAGAAATAGAAATCAAAGGAAGAGGGGTTGGATGAGGGATAGGTCAATGGGTCACGGAATCAGGTAAGTGATGTCAATGTCAGACAGACTTGTGGGACCGGATGGTCCGTAGGCCAGTTCAATTCAGAGGTCACGCAAGTTTCTTTTGGATGCAAATTTGCGGATCCAGCAGTCGGATTCCAATCGCCGCTGCGATGATAGTAGTCTGGATCGTGCCAGTCGTGATCGGTTCAGAGGTACCCGGTATATGATGGTGAAGACTTGCTCCTTGTCTATGACATGACTGGTTTTGGCCAAATGTGATGGGATCGCGCTTGAGCCTGGTTTCTTCCCACTACCACTCAGAGATACGGGATTGTGTTCTCGCATTCTGTTCGACAAATGCCTTGTCGTACGACCAACGTATGATGCTCGGCACGAGCGTACAAAGGAGCACACACAAAAGCCGGTGGTAGAACGTGGCAATGTGTCCTTCAAGCGGAATTTGATAGTGGGTTTGGAGTTGAACCTCAAACACAGATTAGTGGCTAAGTATGTTGTATCAACAGAGTTTCTAAGCCTTCTGGTGATTAGTTCAGCAACCGAGTCGCCTTTGAATGGAAGCCTCATGTATACAGGCTTCTTCTTAACAGAACACTGTGTAGGTTTGGGCTTAATGGCTTCCATAGTCTTGAGTACGAACCTTTCAGGATATCCGTTCTGCAGGAACGTGCGTCCCAAGAACTTTAGTTCCTCTTCTAAGCAGTTGGGCGAGCATATCTTCACTGCTCTCTCAGTCAGGCATCTAATTAGGTTGCGTTTTTTTGCAACGGAACGAAGCCATCAAAGTGAATTTACTGACCTTTCCACGTTTGCTTTCTGTGGACCTTGAGTTCTATGGTCCTGTCATTTTCTTCCCCAGGCTAACATGTTGAAGCATGACACCTGCGTCACTTATTGCACTCATGATATGTTTTCAAAAATTTGGGGATATTAACTCCCTTGTAACGAACTGAGTAGAAATAACTGACGCTCGGTCTAACTACTATAGAATGTTTAACAGTTCATTCCCGGTTAATCATACAGGACACGTTATACCCAAAACTTAACAAAGTTGATCTAAGCTCAAATGAACCTGAAGAAGTTTCAAAGAGGACAATGCGACTATTTTGTTCACAGCCAACGAGCAAACAGGGTAGGATTATTTATTAACAGCTTCATATGCCTCATACATGGTCACCGTAGTTCTAGACAAAAGCCACTGGTGGTGATTATACTGGGACTAGTCGATCCTTACAGAAGGGTTGTACTTACCTCAGAAAGACGTTTTGCAAACACCACTAAACCCTTACGTGATGTTCAAAACATTACACTTCTTGTGGCTTTTGGAAAACGACCAATATTCCAGTCCTCACAAACACATCCGCTTCCAATTAACAACCATAAGTTCCAAAAGTCTCCGCCGTAAATCGGAGCGGGCGCAAACTGACACATCTATCTGATGTATATAGGTATGATATATGGAATTTAGAACTGAAACTGTTTGAGTGTTTACCCAAATTATCGCATACTTCCGTGAAATCTAAGGGTGTCAACTTTAGTAGCTATATGTAAATGAAAAATACTCAGGTATTCATTTATCCGAAGAATACTTGTGCACCAGGGGGGGGAGCTCGGTTTGCACTCTGAAGCCTCATCCAACAACAAGCTCACAGCTGACTAGTTGAAAATCAACAGTATCAGGTGAACATTCGGAAACCAACCTGCTGCATGGGGACTTATATATCTACTACCTTTATAAGAATAATAGTTTGCTTGTAAAATTTCGTGATTTTAATGAAGATTAATGAATTTGCTGCATGTATTTTTGATTGTATTGGCATTTCTGGGACATTTTTGACACCCTCGTTTGCTCCCTTGTTCATATTTTAATGCTTGCAGAGGGATCCTGCCGTTTGGTCATAGGAGTGCTATCTTCTTCCAGGTTGAGGTGTCTCAACCTGGTCTTTTAACTATTTATTGGACGATATTCTAAAGAATATCGTTTTTATCGTTTTATCGTTTTTATCGCCCGACCTTAACCATTAACTCCTATTCCCGTTGTTATTTCTGCCGAACTGCTGACGTACTGAATGTCAAACTTGCATTGCAGTTGTGCAACGGACCAAGTGTTTCAGATGATGCACCAACGTTTATATACCCCGTGAAAAATTTTCCGATTTAAATCCATGTACGTGGTTGCACATGGTTACTAACCCGGCGCGTAACGTTCCAACTAGTAACAATGAGGTCGCTTCCTAGCAAGACCGTCAAGCTAAATTCCATCCTTCATTTGGCGCTTGGCTCGTGTTGAGTGAGATTCTCATAGTAGGTCGGACCAACCTCACGGATCGTTCCTCGCCACAATGCGATCTAATGTGCTTTTACCTCGTTGCTGTTCCAGGACGGAAGCGCTTTTTCCTTATTTTGCGGTTTTAGTGAAGTTTGCATGTCTTCTGGTAAACATGTTGGATATTGAATCGCTATTATAACGCGTCTTTGTGAAAAATGCTTAGTACGACGGTGGTTGGGTCCGGTCTCAGAAGGCTTTGACCCTCCGCAAGACTAGGTGACTATTCAGGCTACTGACTACCTCTTAGTAGCCAGACTTTTATCTGGATACGTTACCAACAGGTCAAACGGAAGTTTCTATACCTAAGAACTGCTCGAATATGCAGGCAGCAGCCATAAACTATACACCAAAGTACCACTGGTTTAACTTGTGTCACGTCGGCACCAAAAATCCCGGAGCTAGCAAACACACCCCAGTTCAGGAAATGACTACTTTTCGACAGTCCACCGGGAATTGTACGGCTACCCAGGCAAATGAGTTGATCTACCACATCAAGCGGTTCATCCACAAGCGTACGTAGTCTTGCAGTAGTATTTTGCGACTGCTAAGGTTGTCAAATCCTGTAGCACAATTATTCAGGCTATTTAAAATGAGTTAAGT